TAAAATTCTAATATAGTTTATAAACATAATTTACACAAAACATTTTATGGTAACTCAAGGTATAATACAACTCATCTTAATATCACTTCTTCTTTTTTTTTCCCCACCATTCTGAGGCCTTCCTCCATGTTGTCTTTCCTTCTCACTTTCGTTGTTTGTTATTGTTGGCTTGTGTTTATTCATTCTCACTAATCTCCTATTGATAGGAATGGTGAGCAAAGCTTACACCCTTAGTCATTTACCACATAGCATTTGCCACGTGGCAGCTTAATATATATCTTACTTCTAGACTTGAGTAACCTCCAAGCAAATTAAATATCTTATTACATTTTGGCCCATAAATTAAATTAATTACACTATTAACTTAAATAATGACCTCAACATATAATATTTATACGATGGTCCTAATTTTTCTTAATTATAAAATTACATACAAATCGCACCTTGATCCCAATTCATCGTATATAAAATTATATTCTTCTCATTTATAATTAGATAATACTAATATGAAAGTTAAAGGATAATTTAATTTTCGGGTTGTTACAGAAGGCATCTAGGAGAACTCTTATCATTGGCATCATGATCTGCTCTAAACGTAATGCTAACTAATGTCTTAGACCCGCACCTTCCACCTCCAACTAATCCAGTGGTTGTAGGGAACATTGTTCCGGTTGCTATGATGGCATTTGTATGTGTGCGTTCTGAGCCGAGATCTCGCCCAACAATGCAATGAGTATCTCAAGAGTTTCTTTCTCGAATGAGGACTTTAGCTATAACTCTTCATGCAATTTCACTTTACAGCTATGGAATCGAGAATTGAGTTTTATCCAATAAATGAATAAACACGATGCTTGAGTTTTCCATAAAAAGAAAAACGTCCATTTAAAATGTTAGTATCATATTTTCTTCGGGCCTTGTTATTACAACTATTATTTATAAGGATTGCTATATATTATCAAACCTCAATTGTTAATTTTTTTAAAAATCTTTTTTAAATATGTTTTCCCTGCAGCAATCCCAAGCCACAGAAAAGAATGTTCCCCTCTAGATCCTTTAGAATTTGAGTTCTGGTAATCTCTCATACTTGAACAAGATGCAGCAATCTCTCATACATCCATATTAACAACTCTGATTTTCACTACAATTGGTATGCTTCCACCACATTTCATAACAGAACATAGTACACAACCCAGTTACATGGGTGTGGGACCCCTCATGTGATAGGGTGATCGATTTTTGTATTCATAAACCTTTACTATGAAAAAGGAACAGAAATGAAAAAATAAAAATGATGCATATGAACTCAATGTTTTAGTTGTCATGTTATTATGAGTGAATTTAGGACTGATATTTTAAAATTTCAGTGTTGTCTACTGTTTCTAGCATATGGGTTGGCCAGCCCTTTCGACTTCCATTGCCGAAAAGGCTGGGATCTTCTAATAACTAGTTAGGATCATTTTTTAACAATTTAGAAATTGATTGTTTTTAAGCCTTTATATATATATACCAAATTGACACAAAAGAAAAATTATAATAATCTTGAGAATGATTTACCTAATTAAAAAATACAAATACAAGAAATGAGAATAAAGAAAGAAAAGATCAAGGAGAGCGAGTCATGAAAATTTCGAAGATGTGGATGGATGATCTGCTTTAATAAAATGAAATGCAACTTGTCCAAATTAATGTGATGGTTATGTGTGGGTTGGGGTAAGATTTTGTATGGATTTTTTTGGGTTCAAATTTTTAGTTTTAAATTAAGTTAAAATGTAACTTGTCAAAAATTAATGCGATGGTTAGTGCGCCAACTGTCATGTACCGACTCATTGATAATGTGAGTTTTACACCAAATATCTTGAAATTCTTATCGCATCACTTGAATTGGATTCTTGGACATAATGTAAGCACAGGGTATACAGTACCACTCGTGGAGCCAGCTTCTCGGGATTATTTGGTCTTTTGAAAATTTTGTAGTGGTGTTGTGTACACCCAATTGAATAGATACATGACTCAAAAAAATAAGAATAGAGGCCTATTTTGGGAAGTGGATTTTTTTTTGACTTATTGGGTTTTTTTGAAAGGGTTTGGCTTTCCTCCAGTCTAATACACTGTTGGGCCCGTGGGGGCTCACTATAAGTCCCGTTTTGATAATTTGAACAGTTGCATATGTAGAACTCGTTGAATACTATATACCTATGAAAAATCACATTGATTGGATATCAATAGATACGTGATCAAATCAGTTTTGTATAAAAAAAAATAGACGGTGAAAAAATAAACAGTTGACAGAAATTTGATCCGATAAAATAGTTATCAATATCCGATCAATGTGATTTTTTTACAGGCATATAGTACTTGGCGAGTTCTACACATTAAATTATTCAAATTATCAAAATGGGACACGTGGTGAGCCCCAACGGGCTCAACAACACCCTCCAGTCTGATCACGAACTGGAGGAAAGCCAATCCCTTTTTGAAAAACCGCACAAAAAAAGTAAAAAGGTGATTTTATCTCAAATAAACTAATAAATTGATTTTTTTTTGCCTTCCCAAAAGAGGCCAGACTAAATTACACTGATCTCCCATCACAAACACATGGGTTCCATTTATTTTAGTTTTTGAAAAGTGTGTTGAATTGTATTTTGAAAAATAAATTGTTGAAAAGAGTTTTGAAAATTAAAAATTTGTTTGATTATGAGTTTTGAAAATAATTTTAGGATGCTTTGTAGTTTTATTTATTTTTTATTTTTTTTGTGGTTGAATAAATAGGTGTGAGAAAATTTAATTGATTGATGTGTAGAATGTGAGATAATGAGTGAAGAGAGATGAGAGAAAAAAAAATGATTGATTTATTTATTTATTAATAAAAGAAAAGGAAAGAGAAGAGAGAAAAATAATTTTTAAAACTTATTAATTAAAAATGTTTTTTAATTTTTTAATCTAAATATTAATCTAAAAACTAAATCAAAGGCTGCCATGATGTTGTCAAAAACTAAATAGTATGCGTGGCATAGGGGTGGAAGGGAGTCCGATTTAAGTCGTCCGTTGTGAAAAAGTCATTCCGGTGTTGATACGTTTGCTTGACTTCTGAATAGGAGACCCAGGACCCAGGACCAGTATATAGGAGACCTTTAATAAAAATTGAAGTGCATGCAATTGGAAAAGAGCACACAGACATTACTGTGAACCTTCCTTGGGCATACATCATGATAGAAAGTGGACTAGCTTTTCTCTTCTTCACTTTGGCCTATTTTAGAAAGTAAGAAAAAAGTAGATTTTTTTGAGTGTTTTTTGAAAAAATATACAAAAGATATAAAGTTGATGTAATTCAACTAAGTTAATAAATTAATTTTTTTTAATTACCAAAATAGACCTCTATTGGTTCAACTGGCATGACAGTACTCTATACTCAACTTTTGAAATTGATACTGGAGCTTTAAAATAAAAAAAAAAATTAAAAAATTTTAAAAAAAAATTCTGGACGTGCTAGCATTGTTTTTGATAAAATGGGTCCCATTTCATTTTAGGCTTCGTTTGGGAAGATGGTTTGAGTGGGTTTGGGGCTAAAATAGCTACAAAAAATAAAATAAGCTTTTTAGCCTAATAAGACAAAAATATCACATCCAATCCATAATCTTTACATTCTTTCTCTCACAAAAAAAATTAAAAAAACCAAAAAAACTAACCCACTTTCCAAATCAAGCTTTTTAGCCCCAGGCTAAAATAGTCAAAAAAGCTAAAAAACCAACCCATTTCTCAAACAAAGCCTTAGTAACTTAAGATTTATTGCACTAATACTTGTAATTGTGTCACATTTAATACTAAACAAAAAGTTTTTTATAAAAAAATCATCCTAACTATGTAAAATCAAATGATATGAAAAATAATAGCCACATTGTTACATAGATATATAAGTGATAATGCATTAGAGTTGAGGTATAAATAACTCATCATTATTATATATAAACAGACTGCTTATTCATAGAGAATCGTCAACAATAGGTTAAGCACATTATTTATTTATTGTGATAAATCAAAAGCCAAGAACAAAGGTTGATGAATTTGGGCCGTTGGATTTTACTTTGTATTTAGTCAAGCATCCTTGATGAAATTAGTATTCAGTCCGTATACCTTCAATCAAAATCAGAAAAAGAAGATATATAGGCTGATAAATTTTTTAAAAGTAAAAAAGCTTTGGAGTAAAAAATTCATTCCATGCCAACGGAGTAAATTTACTTTTTGGAGTAAAAATTCACTTTGTCCTTCATTCAAATTTACTCTAGTGTGAGAAAAAAAAAATTAGGGACAAAAGTAAATAAGTAGCCCAACAGAAAGGAAAAAAAAGAGTAATTTATCCAAAACAAAACAAGTCCTAAATAAAAATTGGAATTGGAAGTGGTAGTGGTAGTTTACATTATTTCCGTTATCCAGTAAAGACGGTAGGAAAGCAAATTCCATAATTAAGATGACTTTTGGGGTGGAGACTGAAATGCAACTTGTCCAAATTAATGTGATGGTTGATGTGCCCCTCCTAGGGGTTGAAGAACAACTTTACTTAAAATTTGTCAAGAAAATTGTTATGGATAGAAAAGTGCAATTTATGTATAGAAAACGTTGATGTTTTAAAAATGATATATAAAATTATTTTTCAGATTTGGTAATTTATAAATGAGATGATTAGTTGATAATTAAAAAATATATGAGAAAGAGTTACCTCAGATATTCTAATTAATTAGCAAATCATTGATTTTGAAAAATTAATATAATTTATGCGCTAAAAAGTGTCCACACTTGATAATAATTGAGGTACACTATGGAAATGGCTCGGAGACACTATAATGAACCATACTTGATACAGCTTTTTCCTGTAACATTTTACTCTCAAGCTAACTCGATATAGCTTTTTCCTGTAACATTTTACTCTCAAGCTAGTACTATATCTGCGGTCTTATGTGGTGTGTACAGCCTAACTTTTTCTCTGTGTTTTTTTATCAATCGAAGCTGAGAGAGTTATCATAGCACGTTATGCACATTTTCTCACTTTTTTTTTGTGAAAAATCAAAAGCTGTGCCCAAGCAAGGTTAAATGAATGTGGACTGTTTGATATGTCCCTAATTCATTCATCAATGGCTCTCTCAAGTCATGGATCATGATTTCGACATTGAGGAAGCTAGTAGGAAACTTGGTATAATTTTCTCCATAATAACGCCGAGAGAGGAAGACTGAAATAGTTACAAAGACTCTCTGGCTTCACTGACTCCCTGTGCCTGGGTCCATGTCGTGAGTCTGACATCAATATTTTTAAAAAGCCTGTTGCAGCTCTGATCTGAGTATGCATTGCATTGCATACATGCTCCCAGTATTTTCGAGTTACAAAGTCCCATACATACATCAATTATGAGTAAAAATAACGTATCCTCTTCTTCTTTTTATTCTGCTCTACTCGTAGCACTGTGCATTGCGGCTACTAATATTTTGTTAGTGTCAACAACTGTGAATTCATCATCATTATCATCGTTAGAGGCCAAAGCTCTACTCAATAGCGGTTGGTGGGGAAACTTTTCTTCTGCAAATCATTGTCACTTGGGAGGCATCACTTGTAATTGGGCAGGAAGTGTCATTCAGATTTATTCTTCTTATTCTTATTCTTCCCCCCACCGAAAGCTTGAAAACATGGATTGGACTTCCTTCCCAAACCTTGAAGATCTCGTTCTCAGTGACTGGAACTTAACTGGAAGCATCCCCGAGGAAATTTGTACTCTGTCAAAGCTCACCATCTTTGACCTCTCTTTCAACTAGTAGAACTTCACATATATTATACTAATATCACTGGTCCAATCCCTTCATGTATTGGTCAGTTAAAGAATTTGGTGCATATGGATATTGGTGATAGTACCCTTATTGGTTCAATCCCTTCCTCTATTGGTCAATTGACTAATCTGACCTTTCTCTATCTTTCGTCAAACCGACTCAACGGCTCCTTCCCTCAAGAAATAGAAATGCTAGAGAACTTGGTTTATATGTCTATGAGTCATAACATTCTTGGTGGTCCAATCCCTTCATCTATTAGTCAATTGACTAATCTGATCTCTCTCTCTCTCTCTTGAAATCGACTCAATGGTTCTATCCCTCAAGAAATAGGAATGCTAAAGAACTTGGTTTATATGTTTATGACCGATAACATTCTTAGTGGTCCAATCCCTTCATCTATTGGTCAATTGACTAATCTAACCTATCTTTCTCTCTCATCAAATCGATTCAATGGTTCCATCCCTCAAGAAATAGGAAAACTAAAGAACTTGATTTATATGTTTATGGACAATAACATTCTTAGTGGTCCAATCCCTTCATCTATTGCTTATTTGACCAATATGACCGATCTAAATCTTTCTTCAAATTGATTCAATGGTTCCATCCCTCAAGAAATAGAAAAGCTAAAGAACTTGATTTATTTGTTTATGGACAATAACATTCTTAGTGGTCCAATCCCTTCATCTATTGGTCATTTGACCAATTTGACCGATCTACGTCTTTCTTCAAATCGATTCAATGGTTCCATCCCTCTAGAGATGGGAGATTTGATGCAACTGGCACGATTAAACCTTAGCCATAACCTCCTTACAGGTAAGATCCCATCTTCAATAGGTAAGTTGATTAACTTGAACTTTTTTGATGCATCTTCAAATCAAGTTAATGACACCATACCCGTTGAACTTGAGCTTTTATCCAACCTTAGGCATCTCGATTTGTCATCAAACCAACTTTCAGGCGAACTACCACCAATTGAAGTTCCCAATAGCTTTCAGTATCTGGACCTCTCTCATAATTTTCTTAACGAGCCTATCCTAAAAAAGCTAGAACAGCTTAAAGATTTGGAGTACTTACGATTGAATGACAATTATTTGAATGGAACAATACCAACCGAATTTGCATATTTGTCACAATTACAGTACTTAAATCTCTCCCACAATGATTTCTCTGGCAAAGTCTCATGCAGTGTTTACTCCATAAAAGGTCTTGACTTGTCATACAATCCTCTCAACGGTCAAATCCCACAATATGGATATGATTGTCCACCCCCATCACAAGTCCTGTCACAGGCAATTAACAAGACTACCTGCTGTAAAGGCATAAATTCTTCCAAGAAAAGAATAGTGATGCTTACTCTCCTCATTTCTCTCTTTATCACAATTTTCCTTGGTTTACTTACATTTGGGTGTTTTCTATGTCGCAAGACCCATAAAAAACAAACTAAGGCAAGAGCCATGAAAAATGGGGATATTTGCTCGATATGGAATTATGATGGAAGAATTGCATATGAAGATATCATCAAAGCAACAAACGACTTTGACATCAAATACTGCATTGGAACTGGCGGTTATGGCAGCGTGTATAGAGCTCAGTTGCCAAGTGGCAAAGTAGTTGCCTTGAAGAAGCTCCATCGTTTCGAAGCAGAGGAGCCTGCTTTTGACAAGAGTTTTAGAAATGAGGTGCAAATGTTAAGTAACATAGGACATCGAAACATAGTGAAGCTTTATGGGTTCTGTTTGCACAATAGATGCATGTTCTTGGTGTATGAGTACATGGAAAGGGGAAGCTTGTTTTGTGCCCTGAGAATTGAGGTCGAAGCTGTTGAATTAGTATGGACTCAGAGGGTAAACATCGTTAAATCAATAGCACATGCTCTATCGTACCTGCATCATGATTGCACCCCACCTATTGTTCATCGAGACATATCAACGAACAACATTTTGTTGAACTCTGAAATGAAGGCTTTCATTGGCGACTTTGGCACTGCTAGATTGTTATATCCCGATTCATCGAATCAAACCATAATTGCAGGCACTTACGGATATATTGCCCCAGGTAACAACAATATTTTTCCTTTATATGTATTTATTTTTCCAATAAAAAGCGGAAAAAAAAAACTATTCTAATTATTTTTAGTGACATTCATATTTAGTGGCTAACAATTTTTTATCTTAAGTCAATGATAGATAAATATTTCACATAATTATTTGTCATTAACTTGCTTTAAAATAGAAAGTGAAAATATAGAGTTTCTTTCATTAATCTTTTTGTTTGTGCAGAACTTGCCTACACAATGGTTGTGATTGAAAAGTGTGATGTTTATAGCTTTGGGGTAGTAGCACTAGAAACAATCATGGGAAGGCATCCGGGAGAACTCCTCTCATCATTAGCATCGCCGTCTACACAAAAATTAATGCTAATTGATGTCTTAGACTCTCGCATTTAGCATCCAACTAATCCAATGGTTGTAAGGAACATTGTTCTAGAGTCAGGGTTTCCTAAATTTCCCAAAATAAAATATTTAGGTGGCGACTCTGTATCTGGCAAAGCAGTCCATGTTTGGCACTTCTTTCAAAAATCTGTTTTCTCAAAACGATTTGCCGGATTTGGACTCTTTGGTTCAGATTTAGAACCGTGACTACAAGTCGAGTCCGAGCTGTAGCGAGGCCCCTCGCGGGCTTGTTACACATTACATTTAACTTGAAAAGGCCATCAGACATGTAATCTTTTCTTACATACATTCCGTTTTTGGTAAGTACAAACTTGTTACTTTCAAAAACTAGCCTAAACCCATTCTTACTCAACAAAGATCCGGAAACTAAATTTTTGCGAATGTCCGGTACATGCAACACATTGTTGAGAGTGAGTTCCTTTCCAGATGTCATCTTGAGTATAATCTTTCCTTGTCCTTCAACTTTGGAAGTTGAGGAGTTGCCCATAAAAAGTTGTTCACCATTGTCCACTGAAGAATAAGATGCGAACATCTTTTTGTCGGCACAAATATGGCGAGTAGCACCAGTGTCCACCTACCATTCTTTAGGATTTCCGACAAGATTTGCCTCGGAAACAACTGCAGAAAGATTGATATCATCTATACCATTGCAAATATTGTCCACTTCAGTCATGTGGGCTTGAGCAGGCTTCTTGCTTGTTCTTCTTTTGCTTTTGCCTTTGCTACGGCAATCTTTGGCCCGATGTCCCTCTTTGTCACAGATATAACATTTGCCATTAAACTTGTACTTTTTATTTTCACCCCCTTTAGAGCCTTGTGATGAACTTTCTCCAGAAGACTTTCGTTTCTTGGTTTTTGAAGCATGTTCCACCACATTTGCCTTAGACTCCATAGGAAGCTTACCAGCTCGTTTTTCAGAATTGCGGTTGTCCTCCTCAATCCTCAAACGCACAATTAACTCATCCATAGAAACTTCTTTGCACTTGTGTTTGAGGTAGTTCTTGAATTCCTTCCAGCCTTTTGGTAATTTTTCAATTAAGGCTGCAACTTGAGAGGATTCACTGAGAGACATACCTTCTGCGTGAATGTCGTGCAGAATGAGTTGGAAATCTTGAGCTTGGCTGATCACAGTTTTTGAATCAACCATTACAAAATCCAAGAATCTGCCAACCACAAATTTCTTTGAGCTGGCATCTTCCGTTTTGTTCTTTTTCTCCAACGATTCCCAAAGTTCCTTTGCTGTCTTGATTGGACTGTAGACGTTGTATAATGTGTTGTCAAGCCCGTTCAAGACGTAATTCCGGCAAAGGAAATCGGCATATTTCCAGGCATCAACCGCAGCAACCACTTGACGGTCAGTTTCATCCTCTTTAAGGATAGGAGCTTCTTCATGGAGAAAACGAGCCAGGTTCAGAGTTGTAAGATAGAACAATATTTTCTGTTGCCATCTTTTAAAGTCAGTTCCTAAAAACTTCTCTGGCTTTTCGCCGTGATTTACCGGTACTGTTACAACAGGAGAGGGGGTTGGCGTCATTGCAGCCACCACAGTAGTACTTTTTTGGGCATTTGTTTCAGTAGCTATCAATTCTAATATATAAAACAAAATTATAATTAGAATTTACACTACACTGAAAATTAAACCAAATTCACAGAATTAAATTCCGTAAAAATAAAAGAAACAAGAATGTAACTTTTACTTTCCAATTAATTTGAAAATAAAATAAAATTTTATTCAATCCAAATTAATTCCACACAGAAAATTAAATTCTGTAAAAATAAAAGAAATAAATACTGATAACTTTTATTTTTCATTAATTTGGGAAATATAAATAAAATTTTATTTAACCAATTAATTCCACACAAGAAAATTTAGAATTCAGTAACACTGTTCAATAATTAAAATACTGTAAATAGAATCTGTTAATTAATGAAAACTCACAAAATAATTTTCTAAAACCAAAATTATTTCTGAAAAAATTCACATAAAATATAAGTCTGAGCATGTTTAATGACACGTCATCATGTACTCTTAGTTGTTGTCAAAGAAAAGAGGCAGTAATGATTACACTATCTGTCATTAATAGCACTATAATCCTAATTTGGTTTTTCCAACCAGAATGATTATTTTGTAAATCCACAGAAAATAATGGTTTCTTCCAAATTATTTACGAGAATGAAAAGGAAACAAACGAAAATTCTGGTAAACAGAATGAAGTTCGAAATCTGTCTTAGATTGTTTGGAACACAATTCTTTGTGTAATAAAATAACTAGAAATAATCAAACAATAAATAAATAACATACGAATTTATTTGTTGTCGAACAATAAAAATTACAGAAGACCAAGTTGAGTGTGTGACACTCTGTCCTTAAGACAGATTCGCCCCGCTATGGTGCTTACGGTTGAGTGGCGTCTATCTCCCAGGATACAATGATCTTCACAAATTTATAGAAGTACTTCAAATAAATTTGTTCGGCGAACCAAACCTGTGTTCTAAACTCTCTTTTATTTATTCCTAAAAATATAAATGAAGAATAATGCACTAAAAAAAATCTGGACAGCAAAAGAAATTTTCTTAGACTGATATCTCGATGTCTCTAAAAAATATATTTAAAGATTGCTGGAATATAATTTCTATTTATAGGCAACAAAGTCACCGTTTGTAATAGTCAACAGGTGCCTTTATTCACATGAACAGATTTGAATGAAAACCTGATCGTTGCTTATATTCAAACAATTTGAAAAGGTTCCAAGGTGCAACAGTTATAAAAACTGTTGGTATACACTTTTTCAACTATTTACATAGTTTAATAGTTTAAATAAAAACAAACCATTTAGAGGAACAATATATTTCAACCAATTGGAATATTTATATAAACTATTTGAATAGTTTAATCATTTTTAGGAAATCACTTTAAGAACCCAAAAATTAAATTTAGAATTTAAATTAAATTCCCACAATAATTTTTTATTAAAAAATTTAAATGAATTTTATCTAAAAAATTAATGTTAAACCCGAAAACGACGTCAACTTCCCATTCACTCATAAATGGTTTTGACGTTCCGTCTTCACCGTGTGACTTGCCACGCGGCAAGGAACACGTCACCTCTTCGGACCCACCCCAAAAGACGTTTGGGGCCCACCAAAAATGGGCTCAAAATTATGCCTATATAAAACCATTTTCCAACAATTCATTGATAGCAAGTGCATGCCTTAAATGAACAATGAGATGAAATCTTTTGTCTCAATTTAACACAAATTTATTTGAAAAAACAAGTTGCGAAACAAGTTGCAATTTATTTGAAAATAGCATAGATGCATATATAGTAATAAAAACACAAGTTGTGAAAGAAGTTAACAGAGCTTTTAAATCATGGCATTGGAATGGAATAGTTTTGATTAATTTTTTGTTAATTTCCCAAATGTGAAGCAAGAGATGTGTATCCTTCAACTACTTGATTCAACTCATTTGAAACAACTTTTAAAACGCCATCTTTACTAGTACCCCATTGACCATCACATATATGGGACCCCTTGTTTGCTTTTGTGTGGCTTGACTTGAGCTAGGACCTAAAAAACATGATGTGAAATGAATGCTCTCTGAACCAACTTAACGGTTGTCAAGTATCCTGTACCGCACTTATTCTCTGAAATGCATTTGGTTAAAATACACCCCATTGAAACTTCTTATACTCCCTCCTTTTCTATCTCTTTTTAAGCCATAAAATGAGTTATAATATAGGACTAAAAGAGAAGTCCAACATAAATTTGCTATATTACATATAGCTAAGAGGAGGCTAAACTTCAAAACCAAAACCACATTCTCTTGGGATTGTATGAATAAGTAAGAACAAATGGTGTACTGAGTCACCACAATTAACAAGAAATAAACTAATCTTCCAAGATAATAGACAATTCTTGTGAAAGAGACTAGATCGTGTGGCAATTTACCAATAATTTTTCATCTCAACTCAATTCAACAAATTCAATATAAAATTCATTTCTTCTTTAATTTTATATACCAAAGGCATAACACTGTTTTGTATACCAAAGAGTTTGATGTAGTTGAATGATGGTTCAAACAAATACAATAGGAGCTGGACCCAAACACCAAGATCAAAGCTGAAATTATGCAAAATTAAATGCCTAAACAAAATAAATAACTACTGATCACTCAATAGATTGACAAATATATACTACCACTGTCCCATTTTTTCTAAAATCAAGTGTAAGAGATTAATGCATAAAATACTTGAAATTATTTATCAAAGTTTTCTTATAGTGACAGTGGAGTTAGACATGAAATCAAAGTTTGATTATACCCACTTACATATAGTTTATTTATCAATCATAACAATAAGATTATCTACAACATCTCATATTTAACAAACTCAAGAAGCAAAAATGAAGGGAAAAAAATGAGATAACATGTAACCTCGAACACCAAACTTAGAGAGAGTTTACCCCTTAATTGCAGTATGAGTCTTGTTTCTCAATAAGACTTATCAATTAAACTAAAAATTGATACAATTTTAAGAAAAATCAAAGGGAAAATTGATGTATTAGAACATAGGAGATTAAATTGCCACAGAGAAACAAAGGCTCTGTTTGGTAAGCAATTCAAATTATAGTTTTACCCATTGATTTGAGTGTGTTGTTTGTTTTGAGCTTTCGAATCATAATTCTACATCCATTTCTCAAAACTCAATTCAAAACATAATCATTACTTTTCAAAACTCAAAACCAAACACATAATTCAAAACTCTTTTCAAAACTCAATTCAAATCAATATTTTAATTTTGTTAAGATTTTAAATATTGTAATATTTAAATATGTTACGATTTTTTTAATTTTTTGAATATTTTTAAATATTTTAATTTCAAAATATTACGATTTTAATTTTTTAAATTTTAAAATATTTTATAAAAATAAATTCAAACTCTATTTTACAAAAATATTTTTAAATATTTTAATTTTTTTGTTATGTATTTGGTTACGATTTGAGTGTAAAGTTGTGAAAATAGTAT